CAATCGAAGTAAATCACTGTCATTTCTAAAATTATGCATATTTTTTGCTATTATTGGATAATGCGGTAATTTTCGCCTGTTTTATAAACATTCCTTCCTTATTGCTTGTGTATGCCTGCATTCGCCTCGACATATTCATTTGTCAGCGACTTTTTTTTCCCCTCTTGTTGGTGTGTATTCAGAAACTAATGGACTTTGTCGCAAAAGTGTTCATGTACTTCATATTTTATTTCGTTTCATTCTACAGACCCATTTCAATTGTCCTTTGCGCACAATGTAGCAACAAACAATGCTCATGTTTATCAAAATACACTTAACCAACTTAATTGGTTTCCGTGCTTTTTATCAGTGCGGCATTTTTGTGATGTTTTTGTTCTCAATAAACTGTAAATTTGACGATTTACGTGTCGATTGCATTTCACTCGAGAATAGTTTCGGAATCGTAATTTGTTGATTGAAAACGAAGTGAAAACGTCGCATTTTCTCCTTCTTTGAATCCAACAACTATTTTTCATGGAATATTCAACACATAAAATTCAATGGAACTAATTATCTTGAGTGCTTCGCTTGATCGTCCAATGTGTATTGGCTGTTAAATAAATAAAGTTCAACATATAATGAACAATAAGTTCGATTCATCTGCATGAAGTACACGTCTTTCAGTCGATATGTCTGAAGAGAAAAGAGGTGGCAAGTTTTTTTTTTCTGACGTCGTTGTCGTTGTCGTCATCGTCGTTGTCGTTATGTAATGAAACTTCGGACGCTACGAATGTTAAGGGTGAAAACAGGACACTGATAAATGGTTTAACATGACATGAGATCGATAATAACGTAAAACTTGCATTTAGTGGCCATACAGCAGTTAATTCGATGCATTTTGTTTCGACACAATGTAATAGACGGACGGTCTTATGGCCAACACATTCACAACGAGCATATTGAGAGTAGCGTGAAAGAAATCAATAAATTGGTCTCAATATAGTCGCTATAGGAGCCGATCATGTCTGTTAACAGCTTAACCAAGTATCAATGTTTTACGATCTAATTTTATAGCTCCTTGAGTATTTACCCAATGAATGTATAGATTGTATTGTATGAAACGAGTGGCCTCATTTTATGTTCCACCGAAATTATGGTTCATTACACAGAAATCTTCTTCGTTTCCTTTTGATTGATGCAGAAAAAAAATGGTTTTACGGGCCTTCACAACCAAATTCGATGTAAAAAAAACTGCAAATGTGGCAACAAAAAATCGATAATATCGAGTGAATTATGACAGGCAAGCAAATGATTGACTCGAGTAGTCTATTTTTGGGATGGAGTGATAGTAAACAAAAAGAGACAAGAACAATATCGTACACCGTTGCAGTTTTATGCGGTGACGGAAAAATTGTTTCATTTCATTTTTATTGCAGTAAGAAAGAACCTTCGTTTTTTTTTCTCAATAGAAATGAATTTCACCAAATATAATTTGATATTATCGAGCGAAAAACGTGCTGTGTCGTTTTCAACCCGTGCGCAAAATGATGGGAAAAAAATTGGGAAAATCCATCGCTTAAATGCTTTGCACTTTGTTTTGGATTCACTTTGAATCAATGTAAATGCATGCCAAAGCAATAATATTCTCATCTCACCGATTATTTATTACACCCATTGTTATTTAATTACATGTCACCAGAGCGATTTCGAGTTTATCGATCAATTTCATCGCGATTCCAATGTAAGGTAGTAAGTGCTGCACGCGATCCCAAATGATAAAATCTTTTGATTATTATTATTTGCAAGAGACGCAGTAAAATAAACCGTTTTAATAATGCACCATTTCGATGTGTTTTATTTCATTTCGAATCAAAATCAATTCGGCAAATTGAAACGATTAATCAGTGGAGCAGGAAACGTACAATTTTCTATCATATCCCCATTCGATGATCTATTTCCAATTGATTTCCATATACGCGCGTAATGAAATCTGTAATTGATTCCAATACATTGTTGGCCGATTTTGTTTTATAGAACCCAATTTATGTCATACGAAGAGAAAATAAATGGCTATCAGTCAAGTTGGTGTTATTTTGTGTCTCTTAATTATCAACGCAAACAATTATTTAGCACATATTTGTAAAGAATGTGTGCACTTGGGCCACGTAAATTGTAAACGGAAATACCATCAATCGAGAGAGCTTAACAAAACGTACACTTTTTTTTGTTTACATGTGCTGTCGTACCTAGTTTATCATTTGATAAAAAAAAAGCCAAATGAACGAAAAGGGAAACAGAAGAAACGAGCCAAGCAGACGGACTTGAAATAGGAAAATAAATAAAATAAAGCGATAAAACAACGGCACAACGGCACAACGAAAATGGCAAACAGATGTTTTTTTGAAGCAGAGCATATACATTTTTCACAATTTTTGGTTTCATTCGATAGCGACAGTGGCAACAGCAACGGCGAAAAAAAAAACTGCTAACATAAGTAATGTGTGTTTGACTGTGGCAGCCGTTGTTGGGCTGAGATCGAGTTTTAAACAATACGGCTGAAAAAAAAACCTCAAATGTGCCAGAAAATAGTCAGCCAAAGAATAGCGAACGGATTCGTTTGAAATGAAGAAATAAAATAGGTGATTCGGGCCCCGAAGTTCGCAGCCAGTTGGTTTCGCACAACCAAAGAGAGTAGAAACACATGCACAAAATGCTTGACGCCACATAAACATTTAGTTATTTTTGCCGATGTTTGACTATGTCGCATTCAATGCGCGACAGTATAGTTTCGTTATGTTTTTTTTTCTTATTCGTTCTCTGCATGCATGCATGGACCCGATTGTCGTTGTTTGTTACTTGTTTTTTCTTGGTGCTGTTGCTGTTGCTGTTGTTGCCCGTTGTTCAGGCGATTTGCCGTCATTCTTCACGAAATCGAAAATCGAAAATGAAGTGGCGCGACAACAAAATAAATGGGTCTTATGTAAGGTAGCTTCTTGTTTCGTGCACATTTATAGCATTCACAATTCACTTCGAGGTGCTTCACAATTTGGCTTACATGTCACATAAAGACAGGGGCGATAGATATACGCATCAAGTGCCAAATTAAAATCAACACACCATATAAAATAACGCTAAAAAATGTGTGAATTATTCGGTTGAAATATGCTGCGTATGCCATTAAAATGGATGGCATCAACGTGTTGGGCCCTTAAGTGAGTGTGAGAATAAGTGAGAGGGAGAGCGAATGAGAGCACCGAACGAGTGCTGTGAACGATTTCAATAGACAGTTTGAATTAACGAATGCTTAACACACAAATTATCGTACGCCAACCGTAGACACATAATGTAAGTGTGGAGTGTGCCCATCACACATCGTTCGCTACACAGATGACAGCATTCAATTCATGTTGTCACACAGAACAACCTAAGCAACTTGATTGAGTCACATACAATTTAAAATGGTGCGACGTTTTTCGCTCTCTTATCTTTTGCTGACGAAAAGAATTTTGTGTTATCAATGTTTAAGCGATTTATCTGCTTTTGCGATCGTTTAATGCGAAACGGTATGTTGCTTGAGTGTATACAACAACAAAAATAAACAGTATTGTTAGCTTAATCCACGACGTGAAGTCGATTTTTAACATAGACGATGTGATATTCTATACATTTACTGTCAATATCATTGATTGTTAATTTTTTGCGCCCATTTGCGATTCATTTGCGTTTTTCTTCAATTTTTTTTTAACCAACGATTGAATTGGCATTTGGTTGAGTGCAAATATTCTTTTCTTGCGGCATATTATTGGTTGTACTCAATAGCTTTACTATTCCAGAAGAAGAAATATGTTATCACTATTTATAAATAAATATTGCGCGAGTCACAAACATTTCAATCACCCTAATGATTTTATCGTACGACACGAATCACTGCATGTACAAACATCGATTATTCCGCCTTCAATCGGCTGTACTTTTGTTTACGCATTTGGTATTTTCAATTTTTTTTGTAAATATTTGATTTGCGAAATATGTCCGAATTTGAGGAGGAAAAAACTCACCGTTTGAACTTTTTAAATCACGGTGTATCACCGATATTGGAGCGCCGCTATGTAGGTAGTTCATGCCACGTGCGATTTGTGTTGCCCATCCGACGAGTACGTCCGGTGGTATTTTGTGTTTGGCCAGAACTTGATTCAATGGGCCACCGCGCGCAAATTCCATAACCAGACAAAAGTTTGGAGGTGTAAGACAGGCACCATGCAACGAAACGATATTCTCGTGTTTTAACGACCAAAACAATTTCGCTTCTTTCATTACGCTTTCAAGCGTTCTGTCTTGGTTTTCTTCTTGGTTTTGAGTCTTAATCGCAACTTCAGTTTGTCCCCAATACCCGCGTCGCACTTTACTGAAGCCACCAGCACCGATGATCTCTTCGAGTGTAAGCTCTCTGAAGTCAATTTCGAGTGGCTGAATTCCGCCAATGATTTCCGGTAGATTCTCAGCCATCATTGGATCACGATCTGTCACATAATTCGATGGGAATATACCGACTTTATCGCCAATTTGGCCCGTCCACCAGCCTTCATCGCCGGATATTGCACTATCTTTTGTCAGAACCATAACAATTGTTCCGCGCCTCAGCAACAACTCGTCCTCGGTTTGAGGCTCATAATCGTAGAGCGCAGTATACAGCATGGTGGATCCTTGTTGCGAACTATTGTCACTGGAATCGTTCTGATTAACTGGATGGTGATGCAATGGCGAGTGATTGTGATTGTTATTGTTGTTATTATTGTTGTTTTGGTAACCCGGTAAAACGTACGGTGACTCTTGGGCCGGCACAAAACGATTTACAATATGATTTTGTGGTACTTGTGGATTGTTCAGTTGATGTGGTGTCATTTGGCGAGCAGTCGGTATATTTGACATTGGAAGATATGCATATGGATCAATTGTGGCATTATTACGTTGTGGCAACGTTGTTGACATTGTTTCTTTTTTTTCTCGATTATACTTTCTACTAAAGTATCACTAGCTACTTGTTATTTTTGGTGTAGCTGCTTGTTTGGTGCAATATGCAAAGGCACAATCAAAGGTCGCATTCGTTGCACACAAATAAATCAGCCATGCGAATTCTTATGATGCAACCGTAATAGCTGAAACACACACATTCATTATACGTACACGTTGATATCGGCACAATTCTATCACACGATTTTATTTAGCATTCGGTGATTGATTTATTTATGATCCGAGCACGAAAACTAATTGCAATGCGTAAAACTGCACCGCCGCTGTCGAGTACACGATTTATCTCTATCTGTATATATATATATTTATGTACAAAAACACACCACAGCTAAATGTAATCTCTTCTGGACTATTCGCTATTCGAATTATGTGTAATGTTTTCATTCGTTTTCACTGCACTTTTTCCACTTCATATCAAAACATGCGGATCTGCAACCTTTTGATGAAAAAATAAAACTAATTACTCATTTATCGAAGATACATGTATTAAGATGATTTTCAATATATAAGCGTTGTTACTGCCGTTGTGGTTGTTATTGTCGTCGTCGTCGTCGTCGTCGTCGATTTTTGCCTCACAAATGTGTTTTTTATTTATGATTTTACCCATTTTGTATAGTGGTCTTCGTACGTGCGACTATCAATGTGTATGCATTGCATTACGTATGTTTATGTTGCTTAAGAATATAGCGGCCATATTTGCAATGGCGACCAAATGACACTAGTAAATTCGCTTTTTTTTTAAACTGAAAGTACTAAACCACATATTGAAAACACTCAAAACACTCGAACTTGTCAACATGGACTTGAATTGATTGCTTATTTTCTACTTCGTCACTACGTTTTTCTTTTTACATTAATTGCGGTCAATTCGTTACTGCAAAGTTGCACAAATCCAAATGTTCACCACAATTGAATGGATTAGAAATCAATTTCCATTTCAATTCTATTGGACATTGAAAATGCTTTTGAAAAACGTTTTAGTAAACAACTTTCCGGAGAAATGAATATCTTGAACCGAATTGGCCAACATATTAGCGAGAAAAAAAATAGTGTGAAACATAATGCACATCACCGCACGTAAACGTCGCACGTACAATTTCATAGACCGCTGAATGAGAACTTGAAACGAAGTAACAACGAATACAAAAAAAAGCGAAAAGAAAAAAAATCATTCACATGAAATTCAGGTCTACGCGATAGAGAGACGATGAACAACGGAACAAAAACACGTCGAACGAAGCGTACGACAAGAGACTGCACATATGAGGAATCCAATCGCTAAGCCAACAACATACGAACAATGAAAAAAAAAACAAGACGTTCTGTGCACGTAAAATTTATGCACTCACTGATTGAAAAATATGAAGCGATAGACCAAAAAAAGAAAAAAACGAGTGAGAAAAGAAACACGAAAAAAATATCAAGCTAAACTCAATACAAACAAATGCGATGTGTGAGATTGTCGCAAATCGGTGGAGACAGCAACAACTACGACAACAACAATATTCATTGCACAATTCCAAAATTAAATTAAACCATCGGCTGTAGAAACGTACACAAACGAACAATAATTTCCAATGGAAATAAAATCTCTTTCTTTTTCGATGTGACTATGTTTTCTTTTGTGCACAGTTTTTTCATCTCCACAGACGATCTACCTGTAAAAAATGAACCGACTGTCACATCACTTGTCAATTGATCGAAATTATTCAAGAGTTTTTACCAATAATTTTTGCGATAAAACACTGCACAAACACGTTTAAATGGGAAATTAGTTCGAACAGTAGTGCATTTGCCAAGTTTTTTTTGCAATCTAAACACACGGGCAATGCTGTGTTTTGATTATTTTGATACAATTTTGTGTTGTCGCCATGCAATTGAGTACATTACACGATGCGAGCAAAAAACAAACTACACATCGCATACCATTGTGGGGCACTCGAAACTTCATTTTGTCTGAATGGAATCTTCTTAACGCAGCGTTTTTTTATGCCAATGACAATACGGTTTTGAGCGTACACAACATTCACACACCAGATGTCATTGACGTCTGTTTATATTGCCAAAACAACTGTTGTTGCACATAACTTTCCAATTCCAATTGAATTTCTCGTTTACTATCCTTGCGCCATCTATCGAATAAAGTAATGAGACCTTAGAGCAAGTATTATGAATAATATTTGTTATGAGAGTCACTTTTTTGGGAATTTAGGATATTTAAATTAATAAAATCATGGTATCTTTGTAGGAAAATTTAAAAGATTGCTTCGGAGATAATTTAATTTACTTGGGTTTGAAAACCAAACAACAAAAATATTGCTCTCTGTCATTTAACCTTATCAACGTTTGAAGAGGAATTTTACGTCGATGGTAGTCAAAATCAAAGAAAAACTGTTATCATTTTCCACAGCAATCTTAGAATTATTTACACAGTGAGGAAAATGAAAGCATAGCTGAAAGAAAAATACAAATAGTGTCACCGATTTTGCTCATGGTTTTGCTATTTAACTGTCGTTTTGTTTATCAACGAATTTGTACACCGCTTTAACAGCGCACACGCAGTCTCCGAATGGACCACATTTTTGAGCATACTGCTCCATGTGTGTGTGTGTGTGTATTTCTCTGTGTGAAAAGTAAAAGTTATCCTCCCTTGAAATTCTCTCGCTCTCTCAAAGTTTTCTGCTGAAGTTACGTTTGGGCTGCAAATATGCTTATGAAACCTCAATCATGAGCATTAAATATAATTCATTTCATTGGTGAATTTAAAATCGATTCAACCCAAAATAATTCATTCAAGCAGATGATTTTCTGTTGAAAAAATATGTTGAAATCCTGTCGGGCGGTGGAAATGGATAAATGAAATGAAAACGTGCTTTCTGCATTTGATACAGTGTTATTGTACACTATTTACTATGAATGGGAAAAAAGTGCAAAAATATCGATAGCTCTGTCTTTGTCAATTCGTTCGTTAAAAAGGGAGAGCAGACACGGAAAGCTGTGTTTTAAAACCAATACATTCAAATTCATTCATTGAAAACTGTAACACACATTTTGAGAGAATTACTGGCCTCTCTCTCTCTCTCTCTCTCTCTCTCTCCCTCTCTTACTCTTTTGCTCGTTTTCCTGTTCTCAGTTCATCTCTCACATACACACATAGACATTTCGAGGGTTTTCCATGTCGCAGTACACATCGGTTGGAAACTGGTCCATTTGGTGAAAACTTGGAAAGCCAAAATGAGAGGAGACAGAACGCTTGAATTGTAGAGAGCAAAGAAAAGAGCAGAGCGCAAGTAAAAGCTTTGTCACATATTTCCATCGATGTTAGGCAACATTTTCACATTGCTCAGCATCATTCGGTCGTTCGACCAGTGTACAGACGTATAAGTGTTTTCGGTCGCGTCGCGAGTGAGTTCATTCTACTCAAAAAGTAATCATGACACCTTATCGAATTTTATTGCGAAGCACCAACCAGCAATACCACCCAACGTAAAACTAACTTTGTATTGTTTATTTATTTGTTTTTTTTTTTTTTTTGTCAAATTAATTGCGACTAAATTTGTTTCCACAAAATTCGTGTTATCGACTGTATATTGGTGGTGTTCATCGACGATTCTTCTATCGCACCAAAGAAGTTTGGTGTGTCTCGATTACTCATCGTCGAATGAAATGATGATAAAGAAATTGCAAAGTGTGAATACGCGTGAAGAGTATTTCCTTCGGTGCTTTGTATCAAAAGGAAGTTCAATAAGTGTTTCATAATAAAATTGATTTTTTTCGATCGAAAGTGAAAAAACGGGAACAAGACTCTGTGAAATAATTAACGAATACATTCGGTTAAGTGGCACGTTTCGCAATGGACATTTCAATTGAATGTTTCAAACGATGAAGTGGTTGAAGCAAGCCTCATGATTAATAGGTGAAAAGTTGGTTTGCAGAGAGAAGCCAAAGCTGTGCGCGTGCAGTAACAACGTGGACACGTTAAACGGTAACGAATCCGAAGTGAAAATGATCTGGTGAGAGTTTTGGGAAAACAACATTTCCATAACGCTAGAGTTAAAGAGAAAAAAAAAATTTGCCAAGCGAAAATGCAATCACAGCATTCGCAAGCACAGCATCAAAGGGCGGCACTTGGACCACAGACATCCACATCGACGACCGCATCGACGGGAACGGCATCGGGGAAGGTAATACAAAACCGAAATTCGTTTTTCGTCGTCTTTTTTTTTTCTTCTTGCTTTGGTATTCAATCTATCTGTAGAACTACAAAAAAAAATGCGTGCGCCCATAAAACCGTCACACTTGAGATGCAAATAAGAATTACTTGCAGCAAAAGGGATGCGAATGGTAAAAGTGCGATTAGTGCCAGCTTAGAATAATTAGTCATTAAATCAAGAGTAACCGTAAGACGAAACACAACAAGCGCTCCGGAAAAAAAGGGGCCAGAGTTTTGGTGTTAAGCTTTTGAGTGAAGTGCGCTGAAAGCATACACACACACATACACATTCCGATCACGAGCGAACTGTGAATTATTATTGAGGTATTTGCTTTAAATCGGAAATTTCTCGCGAGTCAACCAGTAAAACAAGAAACATGGAAAATGTATACAATTGGGACACAAAAAAAAGCAGCGAATGAGCGAGTGTGGGAAAAATGAAGCTTCAAATATTTTGCATGCAGTCTGATTACGAAAGGGAGAAAAAATCGAGGTAAAAACTCGAGACAGTGGAAAAAACATGGATGATAGAATGAACGTTTCGCTGGGAGAACGGCAGAAGAATTCCGTGTGGTGTAGAGAAAATCGCATTTGAACTGGTCTGAAGATTGTCGATGCGTGTGCGAGAGCTGGTGCCTGTGTGTTTGTATGTGTATATGTGTGACGACGTCGGTATTGATGTATGCGTGTATAAACGTTGTTGTCCACGGACGCATTCCAATATTTTGTGCGTGTTCTATCCACTTTATTTGCGTGCACACACGAGAATTATCTTTTGGCGTTTTTTTTTTCTTCTTCTAATCGTTGTTGTTGTTGCTGCGTTCGGCTGAATGGCTGCCTTTGTGTGTTTTTGTGTTTATTGATGATTTGGTTTGGCACACGCGATACAGCTCGCTTTTCCATGCCTTGCAACACAGTACACACATTCAAACTCTGTTTTTCTCGTGCTGCTCTCTCTCTTCTCTCTCTCTCTCTCTCTCTCACTTTTCTTTTCTCATTCTTGCTTTTATGGGCGAACACTTTCCTAACCGAAGGATAATTCGCCACTTCGTCAATTGGAAGCGCTACATTAGTTCAAATAAATTAAAGCACGCCTGCATAACAATTAGATCGAAAGAGGCAAAGGGAAATGACGTGCAATTGTATCAGTAATGAATGTTAACGTTTCTTTGGGAGGTTCAATAAAACGTCGAAAATACACTACGGAGAAAATGATGTTTCGCTTACATGAAAATCAGCAACGAGTGCGTATTTGTTTGTTTATTCGTGTGTGTGTGTGTGTGCGCCGTTGCGAAAAAGGAGCCGAAAAAAAGAAAACAACCAGCCATTATATACACTAATATATGTTATCGCTCAAATCGTATACGATATGTGTCTATGTCGCGTTTGTCGTACACGAGTTTTTCTTTTGCTGTGACAACGAATCGACCGTCAGCTTACTCCAGCCTCACTCAGAATTCAACATGGAAAATGGAACGAGGGCAATAGCAATCGCGAAGCAGAGCGACAGGAAAAAAAAAACCTTGGCAAACAAACGAGAATAAAAGAGATTTCCCAACAGCATCCATGCAAACGAATGATGGATAGCTGGTACACGCGCTGAGGAGATGTTAAAAACGCCGAAACTTGCGAAAAGTAGTCAAATGTATCAAAAGTATCGAGCAATGGCTCAGCAACAGCAGTGGCAATGGTGATGGTAACGGTAACATACTACAGACTGAGCGCGAACATTACACACATTCAGCATACCGAGTACACAACCCAATGTGAAATTATCACCAATTGGAATCGTAAAAAGAGTAGCAAATTTTCAGTTCTCTCTTTTTTCTTTATTACTATTTCCAATGTTCGGCTCATGTCAATACAACCATTTTCGATATGGGTTAAACATTGCGTTTTGCAGCGATTCTCGTATGTCGGCAGACAGACGAAATTTTCTTGCGAATGCGAAGGCAATTGATTGATATTTTATGCTGGAATTTAGTCTTCGGCGTTAAAACGACGACTCCGTATTTGATTCTATTGCTCCTTTCAACGCATATTCCGGGCTTAAATCTAGTCTGAACGAAAATCCGAAAGTTATAAGATAAATACATTTTTCTTTTCTCTTTTTCGATGGCTTTTTTCGCCACTCTCACGCCCGCTCTCTCCGTTCTTCCTTCATCTATTGGTTTCACGCATTTTCGTTATTCTGCTAGTACTTGATCACACAACAAATGTTGAAAATGGCAAATGTTTTGGGTACACACAGAAGAAAAGGCGAAGAAATTCATGGGAAAAAAATGAACAAGAGCGAGGACAAAAACTGACGGGATGTTGAACAATAGAATTGAATAGTCTATTGGTTTTAGTAACTGGTTCCGTCGATGCTCTCTGTGACAATGGTCCATTTAGCAATGCTCGAATTTTTCCGTTCACTTTGTATGAGTTTGGAATGCGTTTTGTTTTGAGAGCCAAATCGACCAGACAATCATCACTTCCAATACGTTCGAGGAGCTTTTTTTTTATAACACATTTTATAATTCATTGCCCTTTCTCGAAGTTATTTGTTGGCACAACTTTTCCGAAAAGTTTAGTGCAAATCAATAGGGGCTGTCAAAAGTATATCACCGATAATGTTTACTATTTCAAGAATAAAAATTCTTTTCGCAAACAAATCATTTTTGGCAAATCAATTTCTCTTCATTGCTTTTCGGTTTCTACCCTTGTGGATGTAGAAGAGAGTGTCTCTGACGCACTAGCCGTTTGCTCCGCAATACCCTCGAGCATCAGTTCAGTGTACATAATTTAACGGCTCTGTTGCGAATATCTGATATTAAATAACCACAAAATTCACAAATATCTATACTCGCTGGCTCGCTGCTCCTGTATGACTCGTGTGCCTGTGCTACGGATAGAGTTGGCTCGTGTGACGACACACTTTACGCGTTCTGCGATTCATCGCATGAGTGCCACTGCTTTCAGCTTCAGAACATCGAAAAAAGCAGAAAGAAGTGAAAAATATGCCAACTGACACATCGTTCAACGTGGAAAGTGTGCGCGCAAATTGAGTTGGTCGTTTTGCTTTTTACCCGATGGTCGATTTTTCTCTTATCTCAATAACATGCTCGACATACAATAAACTCTGCCTTCGATTTGTATGCATGCGTTTGTGTGTGTGTGTGTGTGTGGGTGTGAATGTTTGAGTATGCGATCACCGGCAGATGTCAAGCCAGTATCGAAATCTATTTTTACACATCGAAAAAGAGGGGGAGAGAATGAGCGAATGGAAATCCATTATGGTGTCAAAATCTGCATATTTGCGGTGCGAATAGACGGATCCAATTTTTTTTTGCACATAAAAAGACACGACCTATATAAAATATTTATTACGGTTTCAAATTCCATTTCCATTTCCATTTCGAGAGCATTTTTGCATCATACATTTCCCGCCTTCGGCTGTAATATGTAGAACTGTTATAATTTTTCGATGTTGACAAAATTGTCTCGAGTGCTTATTTGCTATTGTTATGGCTCTATTGATTTGTACCGTGGAAATACCCGTGGAAAATGAGCCATCAATCAGTCATCCATCATTTTTATTGTGTTTACTTTCCATGGTGAATATATGTGAATGATTTTGGACCGCGGATATTTGCAAAAGGGTAACGACAAAAAAATGCAAGGGTGCTGCCATTTACGACGCACATAATACGTAACAACAAAATGAAATTGGTTCTCTTTTTTCCATTTGTGATTTTTTTTCTGGAATTTTTGAAGCATTTCACAGGAATTGAACATACAAAATGAAATTAATTCGCTTGTACCCCGTCACATCGGGAAAATTTCATAGTTTGGCTGTTGAACACAGAGCATACAATCTATATTTCTGCTGGCTATTTTCGACAAGGGTGTGTGAAAGTGAGATTGAAATTTTCCAATCGACAGTTCACAGATACACATTGTTATATCACACACATGAAATCAATATGTATATAATGTATGCTGCATTCATTGTTGGTCCTCTGTGTATTCTGAACACTTGTCGAATGATGGCAGATCATATCGGCGCTGTTCGAGAATATGGCTAAGTATATAGGTCACTAAGTTAATTGCATTCGAAACTATTATTTGTTACGTGCTGCAAACGTGGAATCACGGAGTGTGCACTTGAATCGAATATTCTGTAGTCGAGCTTATTTCGTTCGCGTATTTGACTTTCGCACTCCTAAGCTCGTTCGAAATGGCAGGAAAAAAGGCAATTAAAACCAGTGGAGTGCCCGAACTCCATTTGTCATCCATCGGTATTGTATCGAATTTATAGTCGATGCACGAGCCAACGTAATCTGTATATCACTGCAAATAATAAAACTCATCTAAACTTGATTAATTTTATTCATGGAAATGTTCAACAGTGCTCCCATGCCGCACCGTAGTCGACGTCAGCGAATCAGTGCAGAAATTTGAATCGTGCCCGTCTGAATAGAATAAGCATTGTAGAGTGGATTAATTACACTGTCGATGCGATTTATTTGAAAAGAAGTGCATCTGAAAATTGCTTCAGTGCCAGAAGCGAATCAATTTTAATTCAATTTCGACGGCGCCTGTTCATCGACAGCTAATCGATGAGCGAACAAAATAATTATACAAATTATTTTCAATTTATTTCTCCAATAGTCACATAAAAAATCCAAATGTATTTTTTTTTTTAAAGAAACCTGCTCATCTCAACGTTTTGGTATTAATATTTTTACTTACATTCGTTTTCTTCTCTTCATTTTTCCCTCTACAGCAAGTGGTCGAGCTAAATGGATATGTAATCATTGTGGTCGAGAGTCGCGATAATAAAATCAAATTGTATGGAAGTCCAGCCGATAGAGACAACCTCGAAGTTGGCGATGAAATACTTGACGTTAATGAGCGCAAATTGGAAGATTTGCCGCGCGCCGAAGTAATACGCTACATTCACGAGGTAAATAATTTACTTAAGACTGACGTGCTTTTTTATGTTCATATTGTATCCCCACATTTCTCGTCAAATGAGCAGACTTTCCACTTGCGAGGCGTTCAATTTCTGAATGTCAAGCATAAAAGAAGCGCTCGCCATTGATTCATTTATTTTGTTGTTTACTGTGACGGGTCTCACAGTCGCTTTTCATAGTTCTTGTTGTTTTTTGTTGCTATTTTCATCGGCCAGTCTATGTGCTCGCGCTGCGCTTGAATTGGGTTCAATGCCAAATCCGACGTAATTCTCATTTTCGACCCGCATACGTTTTCTTATCGATTTTTGTAGAAACATGAACACCTGTTGTTGTGTCAATATCAGCTTTTTGCGTTGCGTGGGCGATTGATGTTTCATTATTTGTTTGTTTCAATAAAAATGAATAGCATTGCAGTGAAGCTAAATAAGTAACACAACACCAACAGCAGCACCAACAAAGAACTGTTGTGTTGAAATCAAAACCATTTATATTTATACGATCCAAATGTATAATGATTTTTGTTTTTTTTTTTCATCACTTTTTAATACTAAAACTCTATCAAAATTAATTGCATAACGTTTCCGAATGATTTCAGTGTATCCAATCATGTGTGATAAAGTTGCGTGTGAAAAGGCGCAGTGACTCAAAGCTTGGTAAGTATTTCAGAGATTTAATGTGATAGTGAAAACAATATTGTATTTCAATAAGTTGTTTTCATCACGATATGAAATTATGAAAACACCTACGCGGTTTCGACTTGTTTTATCATCAAAGGGAAATTGGATTAAGAACGAAACTTAAAAGCTTGAAACTTAATTCCATCATGTTAAACGTATCGACGCACTGGCAGTTTGTGTTCAAAAGAATAAACTTGTTTATTCTCTTTTTGCGTCAATCAACTAATGTGTTTCGATTTTACGGTAGCTGTTCACGAGGAAAACGGAATACAATTGGCATGAGATGTGTTGTGATTCTTGAGTATAGCGAAAATCAATTCAGCTTTCATTGCAATGCAAATGGTCAATATGTGTGTGTGGATTCGTCTACCGCACCGAAATCATTGGGGATTCGTTTGTTGCAGAACTGTCAATCGTAAAACAAGCTCAAATCCGAAACATTTTTATTTGATCACGATTTCAGTAAAATGTGCGCCACAGCCATTAGATTCAATTCTCAGTCAAATGGCGACGCTTTGAGTGTCTTCTGGTTTGGTGTGAAATGATTGCAGCCGTTGATTTTTCGAATGGTCAATCGAATCGTTTTGGATAATGGGCATAGGACCATGTTCAACCGTAATCCAATACACGAAACTGTCGACAACATCAAAATAGACAACTTTAGATGGAATTTAGTGAAGTGTGAAAAAGGCATACTGCAACCGAAATCATAATAAAACATGATACAACGTATGGAAGACGACGACGACGACGAAGACTACAGTGTTGTTGGTCATTGTGTGCAAAAACAAAGGAGTGTGACAAGGGCTCCATTCAAACTAGCCAATAAAAAGTATTCACAAATAAAAACGTATTCGATTAGAAGAGAGAGTGCCTCAATATGGTTAGTTGGCCCATAAAAAAAACTTTATTCCTCATCGAGAAATGGTTTTCGGTGCCAATGACAAAAAAATCGAAAGCTTAGATTACAGCTATGAGAGCACCTTATGCAGTGGCACCAGTACCACCATCGTAGCGAATAAAGAAAAAGCAAAGCAACACGCACACCACTCACATCAATACTGTATACATATACACTAGGGTGTTTTTGGTATTAAATAAACAGAAAATGGTAGTTTTAGTTTGATAGAGCAGAGAATTTGGAATCGATTTC